TAATCACTAATGTTGACGCACTTCAATTATTGTGTCTCTCGTATGTTTAAATTATGAACATGGACGCAGAAGATTTAGAATTGTTTAAACTATTTAATCAGTTTCAAAATTCAAGCAATTTGTTCAATATTCAAGCCATAAATATTCTGCAGAACAGAAATATTCCAAAAAAACGGATCAAAAGACATCGTATCAACCCAATAGTTGATTATGGTCGACGCGAGTTCAAGAGAAAATTTCGATTTTCAAGGACCGATGTGGAACGCCTTTATGATATGCTTGACGGACGAATTACTTTAGAACCGCATGTAAGGTTATTTCATTTTTTTTAAAACTTTTCCACATTAAAATAATATAATGATAATAATAGGTACCTCGTCCATCTTTCACTTTGTCTGGAATGATAAAACTCTTGATTGAGTTGAGGTTCTATGCCGTGGGAACATTCTACCAAGCAATTGCTGATATGTTTGGTGTCAGCAGGGGTGTAATCCAAGCAATCATTTCTGAAGTTTCATTTTTAATAGCAACGAAGTTGAGAGATGATGTAATTGTTATGCCTGAAACGCAGCAAGACTTACTGAATGCGAAAGTGGATTTCATGAGGTGGAGCGGGTTCCCTATTTGCATTGGGGCAGTGGATGGGACGCATGTATCAATCCAATCATATGGGGGACCCGACTCCGAAGTGTACAGAAACCGTAAAATGGTGTTTTCTCTGAATTGTCAATTTACTGTGTCAGCCGATGTAATAATAATTATTCATTTAAATTTATTCAAGCCTTGATTATGAATAGTTTCCAAAATTCCACTGTCACTAGGAAAGAATCATCGATGTAGTGTCTAGATGGCCAGGATCTGCGCACGATTCGACAATTTTCACTCATTCACAACTGTATAATCGGCTGACTCAAGGTGATTTCGGAAACGATTCGGTCATAGTTGCCGATTCTGCTTATCCACCGTTGTATTTCATATGCAAACCATTGGAGCAAGTCAATGGTGTTAATCAACAAGACTACCAATACAAACATTTTACTGTCAATGTCATGAGCCGGAATCAGAACGATATAGCACTATGAAAACGTAACTGAATGTGTTATCACTGAAAAAAATGGGATTTCCGGCGGAAAGTTGGTAAAATCGAGTTATTTG